GCCCTAGACAGGGACGTATCTAGACCATGTCTAACACTGTTCCCAGTACCATTAGGACATGTTTGGTGCACACAGTAGGTACTCCTTCTTTTGCTTGAGTTGAAGAATTTCTTGTAAGGTTTCTGAGCAGAACTGCGGGCAGAACACTCCATATGTGACCATGTCCCTCACAGCAGGCTGCATGACAGCAAGTGAAGGATATATCCCAGTGTGAATGTTTGGTTCATAGGCTATTGAGAGGATTCTATCTGTTTACGCACCTGCACTCCCATCCTCCAGCCAACTTCTTACTGCATGCACCGGCAGCCGCTGAAGGGGACAGAGATGCCTGAGCACAAGCAGCTGGGGCGGGGGGAGGGGGAAGAATATATAATGCCTCCGAGGGAAGGGGTAGCAAAGGAGAATGGATCTAGAAAGAACTGCCACCTGTGTGTCTTCTGCTAAAGAACCTGGAAACAGTGCAAATCTACACTTCAGCAAGGACCTGTAATTCATATGCCATGTACAAAATCTGCAGAGTTGCTAATCTGCACAAACCGTACCTCAGGATCTTCTTCTTGACCCTTAATCCCACAGGACCAAAATGGGATCAGCTGGGTCAGGTTGCACTTGAAGCGAGCAGAATTCTGAAATGACAAACATTAATATTTGTTTTGTAAGGCAGTTTGTAATATGGTATGTTTTTAATGCCTATTCCTTTTTTATCAAATGCCTGTCTTAATAAGTTTATTGTAAAATGCAGTCAAAATACAGACTGTGTCACACCATCATTTACTAAGATAGGAGAGAAACTTCAACTTCTGGAATTGCCTTATGAAAAATTACTTGAATTGTCAGAAATTAGAGTGAGTTAACAATCGTTTTTGCACATAGTACTGTGCTACTTTTCACGGAATGTTTCTGTTTCGCTGTGTGATGTCTAACAGTTTCTATTAATCCAAACACTGACATTTGCAGCATTCAAACTTCAGTCATACCACATTTCTCAAGTGAATCAGACATGAGAGATGGGTTAATAGATTGCCTAACATTAAAGGACTGTCTAAATTTGGTAAGTTTTGTATTACAAGGCCAAAGAGATGGAAATGCCTTCGGCAAATTTGAGTTTCAGTGAACAAATGTTATTGTATATACTCAGTGCAATAAGTTCTCACTTCTGGTTTCTGTATTGATAGTGTTCATTTAATTTCCCCATCAGAAATGTATAAGACTATCAGTCTCTTCTTCCTTTCTCTGTTCTCTTTCCATATAGCAATACTGGGTCACCATGTCCTTGGTTTTCTTCACAGCTGAGTCTTTCCTTTGAGCTGCTATTTCAGCCTTCTCTCACAAACCTTGTATCTCTTGTCATCTTTTTCTGCCTATGTCTTGCTGATTCAGAGAAGCAGTTCTACTTGCTATGCCTTAAGCAATCGTCATGGAAATACTCGAAAAAGCATTTCTAACCAGACAGATAGAAAATGAAATAGTTCGTCAAACACTTCAGCATGTCATGCTTGTACATGCATAGAGCGTAACTCAAAATCCAGAGGTATGTGAATGGATTTAGGCAGGATGGAGCCAAAGAAGTGGGAGAGAGGCAGGGATTACATGCTGCCAGCTGCAAAATTTGCATTCTTTGTCATATCACACCATAATGGTTGTGCAGTTGACCACTCCCTCCATCCACACAGTGGCTATGGCCCATCCTGATAAAATTTCCAAAGGGATTCAGTCTGCCATGCTTGACAATGGAACAACAGTTTTAAAAATTCACAAAGAAAGAAAACAAATGGGTGTATTAAGGAACAGAAATTCTTACGGGGCCACATCATGCATTCTTATTTCCAGTGATAAAGAATCACAAGACAAACAAGTGTGTTTGCATCTTGTGGCTGAGGACCATCCAGCAGCTGCAAAGCTGTGGCTAATATAGCATGTTTGTATTGTATGAATAAAAATTAAAAAGGTACGAAATACATATTTTTAAGCATTAGAAATAATGGTAACTGCCTCTTATGCTCATATCCTAATTTGCCTGCTTCCAACATATTCCAGAAAGGGTCTGGCCAGTCAGATAACATTTACCTTTTTCTTTTTTTTTAAATGAAAAAGGAAAAGTGATGAAAAAGTTATTTAATTGAAGGTTAGTAACCAAAGTTTCACAAGAATAGCAAGTTCACATATATAACAACTCACGCACTGCCAGGGAGCACAAGTGTGGAACTCCACATGTCTGTACATTTCCAGGAATGTATGTTCTTACAGGACAAACAGATGTTTAAGTCAAGGTTTGATCAAATGGCAGGTGACTATTCACTGTGACTACTCTCTGGTTTGGACCTACACTAAATAAGACTCTAGTTCTGGCCAGCAAAAATTTGAGG